AAAATGTTCGATACTAACAAGATCATTGCTTGAATTAAGTGATCTGACTTTTAAAACAAACCAGTTGACTGAGTCATTGAAAGTCACTGTGTGGTAGCCATGTTCTTTCCAGTAAATCTGCTCTAAGTGATACAGGGGGTTTCCTGTTGGTATTGAGGTTAGACAGAGTAACTTCCTTCCAGCTAGTCCTTCAGACTCCAAGACACATTCACCTAAGGAGAACAATGCCCTTCAAGGACAAATTGCAGGCAAACAAGAGGAAGTGCCTGCGTGTTAATGTGGCCCACTCTCTACCCACCATTTTTTTCTTAAAGATTTTAAAGAACTTCCATTACCCTTCCATTAGTCCTGAATTTCCCCAGTGCTTGTTTAATTTATTTCCTCTTGTTTTGTCCCTGATGAATCTGGAAACAGATGGTAATTCTTCTTTTTTTAATTTATGACTCTTGCCAAGTCAAGGAGCACTGCTGATGAAAAATGCAAGCCAGAAACGTATTCTCACCTGGAGGAGGGGCCGCTGCACTCCCAGGACCTTCATGGTGTCTGCGTTCGCAAGGATCTTCAAAGGGTCGGATGTTTTGGTGACTCCTTCAATCTCCTTGTTGATCTCAGCCAGGACCTGGTTGAGGAAGATGTTTTTGATGTACACAGTGAGAAACTCTCGAAGAGGACACTGCTTGGCGGGCCCAAGTCCCAGGGCATGCTCAATCTCCTGGATAAATCTGGAAGAGAAACAGTGAACAGGTCACCAAGAGTATGAGACAGTAGTTACATAAGTGTGATGCAACACACACGGCCATGGGCATCTCGAGGCTTCGGCTACCTGCATGGAGAGATGTGGGGGAGTTTTCAGGGTATCATTCATTCATCAACACACAGGTGGCTGCTTGTTTTTTTTAAAAAGTACAGGTTCACTAACTGAATAGAAGGAGGATGAAATAGAAAACATGGCTTCTAAACCAGGAATTTTAAAAACAGAGAGAGATATGAATAAATATTAATAAAAATAAGATATTTTTATTAATCAATGAGAAAGTTGGAAAGAAGAATACAGGAAGCAAAGGGAAAGCATGATGAACAGAAAAGACAAATTAGGACATCAGTTAAAGGGACATCCCCACATACTCCATTTTTCTCATTGAAACCCTTCTATAGAGAGATAGAAAGGTTTGTTTTCTTAAAAAGAAAAAAACATGAATGGATAACCTTTAAATTCATGATGATATGTTAGGAGCTGGGAGGTTAAGAATGGGAATGGGGATGGGAATTGGGGGATAAGGGGGACTTCAACTTTGTTTGTAATAATTTATTCCCTTTATGAAAAATAACAAAACAAAACAGGCCACATGTAACAGAATGTCAGAAACTGTTCAAATCTGGGAGATGATTTGTTTTATTAGTCTTTGTACTCTTGTATACAGGCAGCCCTCCCTGCGCACGTGGTTCTGGTATTGCCAAGTTCAGCTGCCAGTTTACTTAAATAACACCATTCCCACAACAACACGGGATTCTGACTTCAGTTGTCATGGTGTATTAACTGTGCATAACTGCACAAAGCACAAACTTCGCCGCTAGCTCTCCAGTCAAGAAATCACTATGTGAGTAAGTGATGCTCATCATGATCAGGGACCAATCACGTCACTTCTTTCAAAGTCTGGTGGTGAGCAGTCAGTGCACTATCTACTAGTCAGATCACAGACAGACAGCAAAGCTTGTAACTGTGTCGGCTCCTTGTCTCCCAGGGATAAACCCATGTGACATTCTACAAAAGTGGAGAATCAAAAGAGGCAATGGGCCAACAAAGAGAAAGAACAGGAAAGAACCAGAAAGTAGCAGCACTGGAGGTGAAACTCCAAGCGAACATCGCTGAGCTATAAAGATCGCTGACCAAGGCAACGGTGCCACTGCCGCGATTTGAGAGACATGCTGCCAGAGTGAAGCGAACCCCTCCACATCAACAAGGAAAGCAGCTGTGACAAACGGATGAAGGCTTCGCAGAGGAAGTGTGGCCCGTAAGAAATTTCACAGCACAGGAACTCTCGGAGCTCTTTCACAAGGTTGAGAAAGCAAAGGATAAAATGCTGGCAGCTGGTCCAACCTTACAAGGAAGTCTGACAGTTCACCAAGACATGGGAAAGATGCTCGCTGTATATTTAAGTTAGTACAAGAAGGCGGCCAGCATGGTTCTGACTTCCCCTGATGAGGCTTCAACAAAGAAACAAAGCACTTCAGTCCTCATCGTTTCCAACGCCACAGCACACTAAACCCACATCAGTTGCCTGTTTTCCCATCTCCCTTTAACTTGCAACTGACAGTAAGAGACTTTTTAAGGTTCTGACAAAAAATTGTAAAGGTCATGGAACAATGGAGACTTTTCCCATGGACTACTAAGGAGGCTGTGCATGGTTTCAGCTTGCATGGTCATTTTTATGGTCCCATACTACTGGGCAAAACAAAAGCAGTCTTGTACTTCACATTTTTTCTTACAAGAGACAAAGAGGGTAGGAAAGCTACCTGCACACCAAAAAGTGAAATGCAAAATGAAATCAAGTCAAAGGCACATGACAAACTGGGAAGGCATGTCTGCAACCTGTATCACAAATACAGGCGAGACATTGAAAAAAAACAAACAAAGAACACAAGAAGACAGTTTCCAGTAAAAAGAAATACAAGTGCTCATGGAAAAGAAGAAAAAATTCTTAAACCTCATTCATACAAAAAAAAACCAAAAAACAAAAAACAGAAAACAAACTCTATTAAGATACTCTTTCTCACAGTCATGCAATTGGCTAGATTCTAAAACTTTGAAAAAGCATTCTTTCAGCACAGGAGTGGGCAAAGATGCATTCTTGAACACAGAGAGTGACAAATGGGACAACTGTTATGAATGACTCAGAATCACAAATGTATTTCCTTTTGACCCAGCAATTTCGCTTCTGGGAGATTCTTCCTCCAGCTGCATGTGAGCATGGATGAGATGACGGATGCAGGAGAGCTGAAGATCACTGCAAGATTGTCTTTAATGACAAAAAATGGCGAGTAACACAAAAATCCATCAGTCAGGGGCCAGTTAAGGAGGCTGGTCTGTCTGCACACTGGAGGACCACGGAGCTCTCCTAACGCCAACTGTGGAAGCATGTGATGCACTAATGTGAGAGGCTGTAGCTCCAGGATATGTTCTTATGTGAACAAAGCAAGTACAGACCAACATGTGTTTAGCAGTAGTCACTCTACTAACCTTAGTGCAAGAATTAAGTGACCACATTTGTCTATTTGAGCATCAAGACCTTAAGGCTAGGTGTTCAAGGTAATGAAGAGTTTCCTTTGATTGATAAATACATTCATTACAGGCTGTCTCTGGGATAAGAATGTCCAACTTACACTTAAATACAACCCCTATAAAGCCTATACGTCAAAAATTCTAGGTACAGACAACGGTTCATAATAACAAACGGGTGCAACTTTGCGACTTACATGAAAACACTGTTATTGGGTTAAAGATGTTTTAGCAGGTCTGGAAGTATTTCTTTAATGCTTTATAAACATAGAAAGGTACAGTAAATACTAAGATAAACATTTGACTAACTGACGTTACATATGGACCACATCAAACTGTCCTGACTTACGTACAAATTCAACTTACAGACAGACTTAGGGACAAAATTTATTCATAATCTGGGGACAGTTAATCTTGTCTATCACCACTTTGTAAATCTGCAGCTAAAGCATGATAAAAATAATTAATTTAACAACAACAACAACAAATCTTGCCTATCACCAGTCAAATATTCCATTAAGCTAAGAGAAACCATAGGAAGACTTTTTAATTCATGTTATCAACATGGAAAGGGAAATAAAGTCATGACCCAAAACAAGCTATAAGAATCTTTATGAAGAGGCCGAATGGAAGAACGTGGGCAGAAGTGGAGAACTAATGGAAGACAGTTAAGCATGGCCACGGTTTTAAAATATTCTAGTCCCACAGCCAAGTACAATGAATGCTCTGTTCTCATCTAACCCAGAGACCACACCCCCAGGTGCATCCTGATCACCTTGGTTGTCCTCTGATGGAACACACTGTCACTAATTTGCTGATGAGAAAACACAGCAAAGGCCTGTTTTATTATTTTTTTAACATTATGGAATCAATCACTGGAATCACTATTCTTTTCAAATGGACTTGAGAACAAGAGTTTTCTGAGCAGAACTGTTTTTCACACTTTCAAAATTTTTAGCATTTATCAGAAGATTTCTTCTGGTTATGCTGCTTCCAAATACAGCAGCAGAAGGCTCTAAACTATCCACGTTTTCTTCTCTTCTAGTCCACCATCTGCCTTTGATGTCTCCAAACTCTGAAACCTCTCTGCGTCACACTGATGGAGTGGCTCCAACCTGGCAGCTGAGATTCTTTCAAATACAAATCATTTACCCCCTAACACACACACATTCGTATACAAGGCATATCCAGGTGGACACTGCCGTCTCCATTGAGGGGATACATTAAACATGTCCCTGAATCTGCTTTCAGAGCTGTGAAGGACCTCTCTGCACAGAGAGCATGGCATGGCAAGCAAGAATGAAGCACAGTTAGGGCTGTCTCAGGAGCCTCCTCTTCACTCCAGGGAACGATGGGAAGCAGTTACTTTGGGAATGGTCTCTAGCTTATGGCACCCTTGAACCCTACATGTAGCCATGTTGTCATTGTTCAGCAACCTGCCATGCTCTGGTGACCTTGAAACTTTCAATGGACACACACTCTTTTCCTGGGCAGGAAGGACACAGAACAGAAAGTTTTCCAGACCGCCAGGAAGTAAGGATTTCACTTTACTTGGCTTCACAATCAATGCCCATCGAAGTAGCAGTCCAGAAATCTGACAACGTATCTGCTGCAAAAGACTTCTTTAAAAACAAATATGTCACTTTGAGGATTAGGGTGTACATGATTGTTCTGGTTACCTAGTGCCTCTCTAACAGGAATATATACTGCAAATGGGATGGCTTGAACAAACAGGAGTTTATTCTCTTACAGTTTAGGCTTTAAGTCCAAGTTCAAAGTGCCAGGCTCTAGGGGCTGGGTGAAGGTCCCTCAACCTTGGGCTTCAGCTCTGCCTCCAGCTCCCGGCCCACTGAAGCTAGAGGCTTTACTTCACTCAGACAGCTGCTGGCTGCTGAGGCTGCCAAGCCCAAAGTTGACAAGTAAAATGGCACAGTCCCGATGTTACCAAACCACATAGCAGGCCATTTACTCAAGTCCACTGAAAGTTCCAAGGTCACCAGAGCATGGCAGGTTGCTGAACAATGACAACATGGCTACATGCAAGGTTCAAGGGTGCCATAAGCTAGAGACCATTCCCAAAGCTGCTTCTGATACATGGGAAGCAGACCACGTCCCAACATCTACTCAGCTGCTTGTGGTAGATCCCACCATGGAATTGATTGCCAGTCTCATCATGGGGAATAACAACCACCAGCTGCCCAGCCACTCAACCAGGCCCAGCCAAGTTGACACACAAACATAACCACCACAGTGATCCAAGCCGTAGTATTTTCAATCACCTCCTATGTTTGTGAAAGCTGGACAATGAATAAAGAAGACCAAAGAAGAATTGATGCCTTTGAATTAAGGTGTTGGCAAAGAATACTGGATATACCATGGACTGCCAGAAGAATGAACAAACCTGTCTTAGAAGAAGTACAGCCAGAATATGCCTTAGAAGTGAGG